AAAAAAAAAAAAAAAGATGAGACGATACTGGATCAGGGCAGGCCCTAAATCCATTGACTGGTGTCCTTATAAAGACGTGATGTGAAGACAGACACATAGAGGGAAGAGGCCATGTGACGACAGAGGCAGAGACTGGAGTGATGTGGCTACAAGACAAGGAACCCCTGGAGCCATCAGAAACTGGTCGAGGCAAGGATCCTCAGTCTGAGCAAGGCCCTGCCAACACCTTGTATTCTGGCTTTTGGCCTCCAGGGCTGTGACAGAATACGTACCTAGCGTTTCAAGCTACCCAGTTTGAGATCACTTGTTACAGCAGCCACAGAAAACGAATACACCCAGTAAGTGGTATACTCACTGGCCGTCTTTTCGGTCTCCTCCTGCACCGAGCCACAACTCAGAATATGATCGTCTCTTCCAGGAGTGGTTCTGGAATGCAGCCTCTGGCTTATAAAAGACACTCATCCACTTGCAAAAGGCAAATCACGTTTTCTACAAAGCCTGTGAGAAAGAGTTCTGCCCCCACTTATGTTCTCGCTTGGTTCTCAGTGGAAAACCCTCGGAGAGACACACAGCAAGGGGATGGAAACATCTCCCTCCTGCTTGCGTGGTGGCGGTGTGGCTGCATGAACAGGCAGACGTGGACTGAGCTCTTAGACTTAAGACGTGGGCATTTTGGGGCGCCCGGGTGGCTCAGTCGGTTAAGCGTCTGACTTCGGCTCAAGCCATGATCTCCTGGTTCAGGAGTTCAAGCCCCACATGGGGCTCTGCACCAGTGGTGTGGAGCCCGCTTGGGATTCTCTCTCCCCCTCTCTGCCACCTCCGCCATTCGTGCTCACTCTCCCTAAATAAACAAGCAAATAAATAAATAACAACTTGAAAAAAAAGGAAATATTTAGCAAAGCATGTGTTGTATACTAAGTCTGCTCCAGGTCTTTCCAGGGTTAACTTTTATAAGCAACTAATTCCTGTTGGCACAGGGGCAGGAAGGACAAAGGCTGCCTTGTTCCATTTGGCACCGTTTGGTCAGGCCTTGTCCTCTGGAGTTTCCCTCAAGTGACAGCTACTTGGAGGCAGACACTGTGCACAGGGCAGGGCAGGGTGCTGGCCACTCAGCAGACGTGCCGAACGGACGGGCTCCGGTCTCCATCGATTTGTCTGCAGGGTGTGGTGGCCCAGCCTCTCCGGAGGGCAGTGATAAGTAAGGGTCCAGAGTTGGCAGGAGATGAAGTCATTCCTGACCTCGGTATTCACAAAGGTCTGAGCCTGCAACCCCAGATACCCACCGCCCTCACCCGGGCTGGGAACTGGCTCCCTTTCCAGAAGTTCTTTTCCCCACCAAGTTGCCCTGTGTGTGTCCTAGCCTGGTACCTGCATGGGGGCGGGGGGGGGAGATGTGCCTTTTTCTTGCACCCCCTACATCCTAGTGCACCCCACCAATAGCCCCCTGACTTGGATCAGAAGCCCCCATGGAAACTATATTGGGTGGTTCTGTTTGGGGTTTTGTCTCTTTCATTCTGGGGGAAGGTCCTGTCTTCCTGCTGGGAAGGACTTCGGGCCCTCCTCCAAAGCCTGGGGACACCCTGGAGACAAGGCACGGATGGGACTGGCCCTGAGGACCTTAGGGCCAGGGTCATCAGGCCAGTTGAGTCAGACCCTCCAGGCCCATGGGAGAGGGTGTCCAAGGAGGCCCCCACTAGGTGCTTGGTGTCTGTGTGCACAATTGTCATGTCAGTAAACCTGCCATTCTGGGAAGACCCACTGGTGCTGAGCTGGGTTAGGGGAAATGTTATGAACCTAACAGTTGGTGCAAGAAATCCCCTCACTCATTCGCTGATGCCTTCAGCACATGTTGAGTGTTGGCTGTGCTCCAGGCACCTTTCTGGGGGCGGGTGACCCAGGGGTCAACAACACAGATGTTGCCCAGGCCCTCTTGCTTATATGTTTGGGGGCGGAGGTGGCGGTGGGGGGGTGCCCAGATTTGTTGGTTTCAATTGAAGTGTAATTAACGCAAGATGAAATGCCAGTGCAGGGTCCCTGGTTCCCCTGCCTTGGGTGTAGCTGTGAACCCTTGAAAGGAGGGTCCAAACGTCCTAGTATGGAATCCTCCCCCTACCTGCTCACCCAAACCCCCAGACTTGGGGTGCCTGGGTGGCTCAGTCAGTTGAGAATCTGACTTTGGCTCAGGTTATGATCTCACAGTCCATGAGTTCCAGCCCTGCGTCAGGTTCTTTGCTGTCAGTGCAGAGCCTGCTTTGGATCCTCAGTTCCCCTCTCTCCCTGCCCCTCTCCATCTCTCGTGTGCATGCTCTTTCTCTGTCTCAAAAATAAAAAATAAAATATTTAAGAAAACCAAACAGACCTTCAAGTCACCCAGGCGAGTCTGGAGCTTTTCCACTGCCCTGTCCAGCACGAGGTGGTGATCCTTTATTATCTCTATTTGGTGGCCCCAAATTCTTTCAAGTTCCTCCTCCTAAAAGGGGGGAGACACAGACATGAAGCCCTCGGCATTGAAGGTCACCATGGCAGGGAAGGGGCTTGAAGAGTGTACCAGGCCAGTGCCGAGAACCCTCGTTGGTGGGGGACCACATAGCCACGACCCACTGGGACTCCTGCACCTGCCAGGTCTGTTTCTTTTGCCCCACTCACTCCCCCAGGCCGCCTTTTAGCTACACAACAAATTCTGGTCCTGGGTCAGCAACTCAGCTGTCAGCCTGCCTCAAGCCACCAACCCCTAGTGTCTTTCTGCCCCGGGGCACTGACCTTCATCCTGGATCTCTGGAGGTTCCCAATCTTTTCCTGCAGTATGTCCACTGTCGTGCCGAGCTTAGAAGAGGCTCCCAGATTAGCTGAGGGCAAAGGAGGGGGTGGCTGTTAGGGGCAGAGATGGGGAAAGACCCTTCATCTAGGGCTCCACTTGCTTCTGCCAGGAGACATCCAAGGTGGCACTGACCACCGGAAAGATACTGTGAGCCTGGGGCCTTCCAGGTCATTTACCTTTTCTAGTAGTCATTCTTTTCTTTTCTTTTTTTCTTTTTAAGTTTATTTATTCATTGGGAGGGAGAGAGAGAGAGCGTGAAAAAGCGGGGGAGGGGCAGAGAGAGAGAGGGAGAGAATCCCAAGCAGGCTCTGTACTGTCAGTGCAAAGTCTGATGTGGGGCTTGAACTCATGAACCATGAGATCATAACTTGAGCCGAAGTCAGACGCTTAACCGACTGAGCCACCCAGGCGCCCGGAGTAGCTACAGTCTTTTAAAAAAAAATCTTAAAATGGGGCACCTGGGTGGTTCAGTCAGTTAAGCGTCTGACTTAGGCTCAGGTCATGATCTCATGGTTTGGGAGTTTGAGCCCTGAATTGGGCTCTGTGCTGATAGTGTAGGGTCTGCTCGGGACCCTGTCTCTTCTCCCTCTCTCTGTCCCTCGTCCACTCTCTCTTTCTCAACAAAAATAAACTGTATTTAAAAAAAATTTTTTTAATGTTTATTTTTGAGAGAGAGAGAGAGAGAGACAGAGCATGAGCAGGGGAGGGGCAGAGAGAGGGAGACACAGAATCCAAAGCAGGCTCTCAATTGTCAGCACAGAGCCCAAAGTGGGGCTCAAACTCACGAACCTGAAGATTATGACCTGAGCCGAAGTTGGATGCTTAACTGACTGAGTCACCCAGGTGCCCCTAAATACATTAAAAAAAATATTAAAAGGATCAGATAAAATTAATTTTGATATTTTATTTAACTCAATATATGATATAAAAGTATCATTTGAATATATGATACAAAATTATTGAGATGTTTTACATTCCTGTTTTCATCAAGGTTTCAATATCTGACATGCACTTCACACTTGGAGTACACCTGCACTTGAACTTGCCCCACCTCAAGTGTCCAACAGCCACAAGTGCCTCCTGGTATTATATTAGACTGCACAGGCCTAGGGAGGCCTTTCTGGAGTTTATTCCAGTCTCAGAAAAGGCCCTGAGCTGGGATGCCTGCCTAGCTCAGTCAGCGGATCAAGTCAGACTCTTGATCTCAAGGTTATGAATTTGAGCCCCACATAGGGTATAGAGATTACTTCTTTTTTTTTTAATTAAAAAAAATTTTTAATTTAATTTCGAGAGAGACAGAGACAGACTGCAAGTGGCTTAGGGGTAGATAGAGAGGGAGACACAGAAGCAGAAGCAGGCTCTGAGCTATCAGTACAAAGCCCGACGCGAGGCTCGAACTCACAGACTGTGAGATCATGACCTGAGCTGAAGTCAGACGCTCAACCGACTGAGCCACGCAGGCACCCCAGAGATTACTTTAAAAAAAATCTTCAAATAGGATAGGGCAACAGGCCTCACAGTGGGTCCTCTGAGCCAGCAGCATCAGAATCAGATGCTGGGGGGCACCTGGGTGGCTCAGTCAGTTAAGCATCCAACTTGGGCTTGGGTCATGATCTCACAATTCCATAAGGGGCTCTCTGCTCTCAGAGCAGAGCCCACTTCAGATCCTCAGTCCCCTCCCTTTCTCTGCCCCTCCCTTGCTTCTTGTGCTGTGCATACAAATGCTTTCTCTCTCGCTCAAAAACAAATAAACATTAAAAAAAAAAAATCAGCTGCTGGAATGGGTCAGAAATGCAAATTCTTGGGCCCTGCTCAGACCACTGAGTCAGAAACCCCAGGGGTGGGGCCCAGCAGTCTGTGCTTTAACAAGTCTCCTGGGGATGCTGAGGGAACCACAAGGTTGAGAAGCAGTAAATGAGGCCACCCTGCCCTCCAGTCCCCTCAGTGAGCCTCTGTCCAGCATGGGCGTAAAATGGGAGCACAAATCTACAGGTACCACTGCCACCCACAAAGCTTCTGTGGTCTTTAAGGACACATTTGTTTGCCTGGCAGTGGCTCCTAACCTCAAACTGACCACTTCATCTGGGGCCTGTTCTGTGCTCTCGGACATTCTGGCTGATCCAGACTTATCAACACATCGTACAGTAGTGCTGCGTCACATGGGCTGTCGAAAGGAAGTTTTCCAGAGTAATTGTGATGTGGGATTCTCCTTCTTCGGGGCCAACTTTAGACCCTAACCACCCCTCTCCCCTATGATAAGACCTCACTGTACATTCATGGTAAAAGAATAGACCAATAAGAGGCTAATGCTGAAGCCGAAGGAAAGAATGGCTAACGGTTAATACAGATTTTGCTGGGGGAGCTACATGAAGGCGACGAGGGACTTCTCGGAGGCCACTGGGAGGGCCTAAGCCCCTGCCACCTCCCCCGGAGCCAGGCAGAGCCTACCTAGATAAGTCAAGCGCTGCTGAAGGCTGGACGACAGCTGTACAAAATCTTCTTTCAGGGAGTCGTGTCTAATGGGCATCTGGGCTATGTGGCCCATGGAGTACCTGACAGCCTCCTTCTTGTCCTCGGTGGTCACGGCATTCTGGGCAGCCAGCATGGCCTGGGACAAGGCCCTACCGGGGGAGATGCTGGCAGCAGAGTATGGGGGATAGAAGTCTTCACTGTACCCCTGCAAGTCTTCTGCCTTGCTGTCCTCAGCCAAGGACACAGAGGCCAAGGCCCCACGGGAAGATCCCGCGCCCAGGATGTCTGCGAAAACCCCTAGGGGCCCAGATGCAGCCACAGATGTTGCTATGGTGGCCAACTTGGTGGCCGGGGCATTTTTGATGGCCTTGGTGGCGGCCTCAGCTTGCTGGGCTGCCAACGTGGCGGACTTTGCGTAGGAGGCGGCGGCGGCAGCCGCAATGGTGGCGGTGGTCTTCAACCGCTGAAGGGCAGATGGGGTAGCCTTGGGGGGTGCTGCTTTGGGGTCCTCAGCCCTGGGGGTCCTGGCCTGAGGAGCTGGCATGTCGTGGGATAAATATTCTTCTTGATTTTCTGAGACAGCCGGCAGCAGATGTACCTGTGCATGGCTGGACTGTGACCACAGTGGACAGGGCCAAGCGGAGCCAAACTCCGTGGCTGGTGGGGGGGCCCTGAATCCCTGGGACTGTGCAGGCAGGAGGCCTGATGGGTCTGGGCCAAGCTGCAAGGAGCCCGAGACGCCGGAAGGCCAACTACTAGCTCTGGACCAGCCTCTGGGAAGACGCCAGCCTGCTGGTGGTGTGGGCTGAAACCCTGGGGCAGGTGCAGGCCCAGAGACAGCCTCAGGGGCAAGGGCGGCCCCAGGTCTGAGGGCAGGCCCAGGTGCTAGTAGGAATCCAGGTGTCAGACTAGGCCCCACCACAGGCCCTGGTGCAGGAGTGGGCTTAGGCTGTGGCCTCCGCGTGGGCCCAGGCCCAGGCTCGCGCGCAGACCCAGGCTCGGGCCCAGGCTCAGGCTCGGGCGCAGACCCAGGCTCGGGCCCAGGCTCAGGCTCGGGCGCAGACCCAGGCTCAGGCACGTGAGGCTGCCCCGGCCCCTGGGCCCCGGCGAGTAGAACAGCTTGGGCAGATTCCTCCTCCTGTAGCTCCTCCAGGATTTCGTAACGCCAGGCAGACTCCGGTAACCTGGAGCGCTCGGTGACCCCTGAGACCGGGACACGACGAACAGCTTCAGGGTACTCCGTGGTCTGGGGATGATCTGTCTTTGGGGGCTGATCCACAATCTGCAACAGCTCTGAATCATCAAACCGTACTGAACTGGTTCCTTGTGTTAAAGTTCCCTGTGGACAGGGGTGAGGCTGGCCAGGGCTGCTCCAGGCCAGCTCAGCGGTCCCCCTGCCCGCTCCTGCACCCTCAGCTGCTGCCCCTCCGTTTCCCCCTTCACTCACGGGGCTGAACATGGCTTCATGGAGGCTGCTCCAGAGCACCATGTCCTCAGCTTTGGGGATGGTGAGGATCTTGCTCTGGAGAGAAACCTGGGGGACACGGTTGGGAATGATGGGCGAGGCCCTCAGGTGGCTCCTTGGTCCATACTTGCCTTTTCTGATTGTGTTCTCCTCCTTACCCCTCCCCCCCCAGCCCCCTGGGCCTGGAGGTCAGGGGACTCAGGACAGAGAACAGCACCGAGGCCCTCACCACTTTCCGCTGCAGCACACTTATCTTCTGGGTCTGTCCTCTCAGATCCTCCAAGAAAGTATCCATTCTTTCTGGGTGCATCTGTCAAATGAGCCAAGTCTGTGGGCCTGCAGGTTCTGGTCCTGGCCCTGCTTCTCCCACAGCTCAAAGACAAGGACTTAGCTCTAGGTGACAGAATTGGAGAAGGAAGAACAGATCCCAAAGCAAGTGCTTCCCGGGGAGTGGGAAAGGGGTAGAAGAGGGTTCCCTGGGAAAATAAGTTTGGAAAATGCTGGGCTTAAAAGGATTCAATGGGTTTCTGTACTGCAGAACTTCTCAGAGCCTTTAATGGGCAAAAGTACATCAAGAATCTCCAAGAGGTAGGCTGAGGAGGCATTTATTTTTCTCCATAGATTGGTCAAAGAAACCTTTTTAGCGCTTCGTGATGCCCTTTCTTCTCAGATGGGAGCTACTCAGACTGAGTTTTCACAGGTGCCATAACAATCAAATGTGTACAGTGACCTGTGAGTTGGGAATAATACACTAAACCATGCTATCTGGGGGCAAGTCGTAAAACCTCAGTCACAATACCAGCCTGCAGGAGTGGAGACCTGGCCTCTGAGCCCAGCTCTGACTCACCAGCTGTGACCTCATGCTTCAGGGATGCTGTGTCCTTCCACATCATGGTAAGGAGTTAGTATACACCTGGATTGATGTCCTTGTGACTCCAAGGGGAGATAGACTGTATGCCTATGCTAGGTTTATTCCACTTTGCAGCGTGGACAGAGCTTTATAGAATAGGAAAAGCTGTAATCTTTCTGCTAAGTTGGTGGAATATAAGCCTGGAGTTACCAAGACTTAGGGAGTACCTGTCTGAGAATGAAGCCAGTCCAGAGGAGAGCATCAGTGACAGATGTTGATGTGGCATGAGCACCTAGATCTGGTTCTACCTGAAGGCAACTCTGGACATTTTAGTAAATGAGACACTACATTCTCTTATTTTGCCTAAGCCAGGATGAACTAGGTTTCTGTAACTTACAAATGGTCTCCTAACACAGCAGAGTGAGGAGCATGGTGGGAGCCACGGACAGTTTAGTGGCACGGGCTAGGTGGGAGCCATGAAGAGTTTAGTGGGATGGGCTAAGTGGCTGGTCAATGTCAAACCCCTTCTCCTGCTCTCAGGGCTGTGTTCTTTGACTAACAACAGGCTCCCTAGATTTACCTTGTCCCCCCCAACCATCTGAGGTCCAAGCAGCATGTCCAGACAGCATGGAGGATGCTAGAGAGGGTCTACCTTTTCAAGTATGTCCTTCAGTTTGTCCACATCCTTTCTGAGAGTTTCAGTGGAGACCTTGAGTGCATAAATGTCAGTGAGCAAATCCTGCAGAATCTTCATGGACTGAAGGGGAAGAAGAGGGGAAAATGTGAAGTTGGGTGTGGCTGGGGGGAAAGGTATGTAAAGTGCAGAAGCTCTTTGGTGATGCCCATGGTCTAAGAAGGCCTCTTGGCTCTACCAAGGCCCAGGCTGGAACATACTCAGAGGCTAGCATATGACACCAAACTCAACAGTGCTGAGCTCCCAGGTGGTCCGGGTGGGAAGGAGGCAACTCTATATTTCAATGTATTCAGTAACCAGGAGTCCCTCATTAGGAAGCATCTCATGCCCTTTGGTGGGACATCAGCAAGGGAGTTATGATTGGATATACATTTTAAAAGGGTCCCTCTGGCTGCATGTGTAGATTGGCTCCCGGAGGTAAGGGAGAAAGCCAGAGGACCAGTGAGGAAACTTCCAGGCAAGAGCTGATGGGAACAGTGAGTGCTGGGATCATAGCTCAGCTCCATCACTCATTGGGGCTGTTATTGCATCCTTCCAGGTTTTAGGATCCTCAATCATAAAATGTATATAAAAAATGTGATGATGAAACAAAAATGTGATGATGTATTTAAAGAGCCCAGTGCATAGTTAGGCATTCAGCTAACAAAAATAACAAAGAGCAAAATGGCAGAAATCCTTCTTATCAGTAATTACATTAAATGTAAATGGATTAAACTCCCATTTAAAAGGCAGATATTAGGGGCACCTGGGTGGCTCAGTCAGTTGAGGGTCCAACTTTGGCTCAGGTCATGATCTCTGCATGATCTCAAGCCCTGCATCGGGCTCTGTGCTGACAGCTCAGAGCCTGGAGTCTGCTTTGGATTCTGTGTCTCCCTCTCTCTCTGCCCCTTTCCTGTTCGCATGCTGTCTCTCAAAAAAAAAAAAAACAAAATAAAACATTAAAAAAAATTAAAGGCAGACATTAGGGGCATCTGGGTGGCTTAGTTGCTTAAGTGCTGACTCTTGGTATCAGCTCAGCATCTCATGGTAGTGGGATGAGCCATGTTAGGCTCTGCACTAACAGAGAGAAACCTGCTTGGGATTCTCTCTCTCAAAATAAATGAATAAACTTGAAAAAACAAATAGGGGCACTTGGGCAGCTCAATTGGTTGAGTACCAACTCTTGATTTCTACTCAGGTCATGATCTCATGCTTTGTGAATTCAAGCCTGCATCAGGATCCGTGCTGACAGTGTGGAGCCTGCTTGGAATTCTCTCTCTCCTTCTCTCTCTCTGCCTCTCCCCTGCTCACCACCTCTCTCTCTCCCTCTCTCTCTCCCTCCCTCTCTCTCTCTCTCTCTCAAAAATAAATAAATAAACATAAAAAAAGAATAGTTGAGCTTTCAATACCCCCTTTTCAATAATGAATAAAACTAAAGAGGATGAGCAAGGAATTAGATTTGCACAACACTATAAACCAACTAGACATAACAGACATCTATAGGGCACTCCAGTCAACAATGGCAGAATACACATTCTTCCCAAGCGTACACAGAACATTCTATAGGAGAGACCATATGCTAGTCCATAACACAAGTGTCAACACATTTTTTAAAGGACTGAAATCATGCAAAATGTGCACTCTGACTGCAATGGATTCAAATACATCAATAATAGAAGAAAGTATTAGAAATCTGCCAATAAATGGAAACCAAACAACACTCTTCTGAATAAGCAATGGGTCAAAGAAGAGATCACCAGGGAAATCAAAATCCAGTTTGAGATGAATTAAAACAAACAGAACACACTAGAACTTATAGGATGCAACTGAAACTAGCCTTCAGACACTGGAAAAAAGCAACGCAAAATAACCTGAAGCAAGTAGAAAAAGTGAAGCAATAAAGAGTAAAGTGGGAACTAATGAGATAGAGAATAGAAAAATAAGAGAGGAAATCAATGAAACTAAAAGCTGGTTCTTTGAAAACATCGACAAAGTTAGCAGATCTTAAGCGAGACTGACCAAGAAAAAAGGAGAAGAAATCAGAAATGCAGGAGGGAACATTACCCTACAGAAATAAAAAGAGAGGCACCTGGGTGGCTCAGTCAGTTAAGCATCTGACTCTTGATTTCAGCTCAGGTTGTGGTCTTGTGGTTCTTGAGTTTGAGCCCCGTGTCAGGCTCCACACAGACAGTGCAGAATCCCACTGCTTAGGATTCTCTCGCATTCCTCTCTCTCTACCCCTCCTTTGCTCATGCTTTCTCTTTCTCTCTCAAAATAAATAAATAAACTTAAAATAAATAAAAAGAATTATGAAGGACTACTGTGAACAACTGTAGGCCTACAAGTTAGTTACCTGGGTGGCTCAGATGACTTTGGCTCAGGTCATGATCTCATGGTTCATGAGTTCAAGTCTCACATCAGGTGAGCTCAAGCCCTACTTCAAGGGAACATGAGCCCTGCTTCAGGTGAGTCCCATTTCTCTCTCTCTCTCTCTCTCTCTCTCTCTCTCTCTCTGTCTCTCTCCCTCCC